AGGAACAGTTGAAACGAATGGCGACATCCGTTGATATGCGCTTTCTAGTGCCACTGTGCAGTCGCGATGCGGCAGGGGCGTCTATGTGCTACCCAGCGGAGCCCAGAGAAATCCTCAATAGGACGAGAATGGAGCGCATGCGAGCCGAGAATGGCAAAAATGGGAAGCGAATTGTGACAGACGATGAGCTTTTGATGAGCAGGCATTTTGAGGCCAAGGAGATGGAAATCTTGGCCTTTAGGCATGGGTTTAGCAAGTCTGTCCTCAAGGATGAGTGGGTCATGCGTCAAGATGAAGACGGAAAAGAGCAAGGGGGCTCGCCTCTTCCAATGTCTTGCAATGAGGATAGTGATCCTTGCGATTCAGTTGGGGATTACGATTGTCCCCATGTCTACGTTCCTCACGCCATTGTCAACAAGAGCTATTTCTTCAGTTATGATTAGGGGTTAATGACCTTGGTTTGACAGCATTAGATCGACTCTGTTAAGCTGTGTGACGAAGGGATGGTGACGCAACATAGGTTCGCACTAGACCTATGAGTCAAAATGAATTACCATGTAGCCGCTCAGCTCCATTACAAGCTATCGGAACCGATGCCGGCCGGAAACCCTACCCGAAGCCAGTGCGGGGATCCGCCCCGTTCCCACGATAAGGTGCGGAGTCTCCGACGGGGCATCGTTGATTTCGTCGTGTCCTTCCCGTTTCATTGACTGACGAGGTGAAAAGGAAGGTAATCCCGAAGCGGTATAGCAGGGTGTTGGGCGTTGATATACTGCTCACCTCAACATCCATCTTTCGACAGCCAACAGTCACCCGTCCAACAGTCATCATGAATGGTTCCAGTGCGAGAGCACTCAGCGTCATCCCGGGCTCTTTTCATGGCCCTCTTGTCTTCTCTGATGTGCCTTTGAGCTTCATGATGGGTGTGGACCCAAAGACCGGCGTTGTCGTCGACGCCCATCATCCACTGCTTGGCACGTCAGTGAAGGGCAAGGTCCTGGCCATCCCCTGCGGTCGGGGCTCCTGTTCCGGCAGCGGGGCGCTTGTTGAGCTCATTCTCACCGGCAATGCACCATCAGCTTTGATATTTCAGGAGCCGGAGATGATTCTGACTTTAGGTGTCATGGTCGCTGAGGCCATGTTCGACCGCCGCATACCCGTTATCTTCTTGCAAGGTAACGAGAACTTCGAGAAGTTGCGTGGGGCATCAGAGGTAGACATTAACGACAAGCAGTTGTTAATCATGCCAAACCAGGTGGCTCTACCCCTTGAGCCCCGGAGCACAAGAGGTATCAGCCTAAGTACGTCCGATGAGAAGTTTCTTTCCGGTCAGGGAGGAGAGGCAAGCCGCATTGCAATGGAAATCATCGTCGCCTTTGCCGCTTTGCAAGGAGCGAAATGCCTCGTGGACGTATCACAAGTTCACATTGATGCGTGTGCCTACAACGGAAAGAGCAGTCTTCATGTACCGGAGCACCTTCTATCACTCGGTGGACAGTTTGTAGTGCCTTCAACTTGCAACTCACTCAACGTCGACCGGCTTCGATGGAAGGAGCTTGGCACCGATTCAGAAGCAGTCATCATGGGAGATAAGATCGGCGAGGCTTATCTCAAGCTCGGGGCCAAGCTCAGCTTCACCTGTGCCCCCTACCTCCTCGATAGCAAGCCCAAAGCCGGAGAGCAAGTCGGCTGGTCCGAGTCAAATGCTGTCGTCTTTGTGAACAGCGTCCTCGGAGCACACACGCAAAAATACCCGGATTACCTCGACGTCTTCATCGCCTTGACCGGCAGGGCACCATATGCAGGTTGTCATACTCCGGAGGGAAGGAAGCCAAAGATCATCATCGAAGAGCCTCAACTTCCCGGGCATGACCAGTCACTGTTCCCTCTTCTTGGCTACCACATCGGCGACATCGTTGGCGGAAAGATACCCTTCATCGTCGGCATGGAAAAGACGAACCCCACTATGTCCGACCTGAAAGCCTTTGGCGCCGGTTTTGCAACGACTTCCTCAGCGCCGATGTTCCACATGAGGGCTATTACGCCAGAAGCAGCTTCCTTTGACGGACAAACTGAGTCCCTGGATCGGGTAATCGTTGACGTCAACGGCCTGCGAAAGACCTGGAAGCAGCTCAACACCGCTTCCGATCCTTCTTTGGACATAGTATCTCTGGGAAACCCCCATTTCTCCGTAGAGGAGTTTGCACAGCTCGCCGATCTCTGCAGGAACGAGACGAAGTCGCCCAGCGTTGCCGTCATCATCACAACGAGTCGCGACATCTATCAAAAGGCGCTGAAACTAGGCCACCTCGATGTGCTGGAATCGTTTGGCGCCCAATTCATCACGGATACATGTTGGTGCATGATAGAAGAACCCATCGTGCCAGCGGCATCCAAGCAGATCATGACAAACTCTGCCAAGTACGCACACTACGGGCCTGGGATAGTCGGGAAGAAATTTCATTTCGGAGACGTCCTTGCTTGCGTCAGCGCGGCTTGCGCAGGGTTCCGAACCGACAGAGAGATGGCGCCCAGCTGGCTGTTTGGGTCTGGATCGGAGACTTAGTGACTTATCAGTGAAAGAATACATCGGCAAAGTCCCGAGATGCGTCTGAAACCGTCCGCCGTGGGGAATCGGGAAAGATAGCACGCCGGGATCCATGCCGACTCAGTGTCTCTCGGCCGAGATTTGTGGCGTAGGATGCCTTTAGCGAGGCCAATTTCTCCGTGCAAGGATCGAATCCCAGCCACTTCGCTTCTTGATGTGACGAGAAGTGCGAGAAAACGGTGGTGGGTTGCAGCGCATAAGACACGAGATTACCAAAGACTTTTCAACCGGAACCAACGGTCCTCCATCATTTTGTCTCCTCTTTGGCCAACGCTACAGTGTAGGCTCTCTTAGCGGACTCTAGATTGGTGTTTGAAGAAGGCAGGGCACAGTATTTCGCTTACACCTGTTACGAATACTCGCACTTGGGCGGGCACATATAGCCAATCATGGTGGCAGGCCATAGACGAGCCATATTCTGGTTCAATCGCAGCAATGTACCGACATGCAATATAACCGATCATTAAGCATATTGTTTTGTACCTGTTGTCTCCGTGGCAAATGAAACGGGGTTGACGAATACTGCGCGGATCTTCAGGCCAGATGATGCCACAGTCTCATGGTGATCAGAGGGTATAATCAGGCCAGTTTGAGTTGGTTCAGCTTGCTTCTGTTCAAACATTTCATCGGGACCTCCGAGTAGCCACTGAAAGTCCAGCGCCACAGTGGAACAAACATCAAAATGCAACAACATTCTGAAGATCTATTGCCTCTTGTCTTTCGTGTTCAGCCACCAAAGATCTCTTCGGTCCCCGGAGGAGCTCAAAGCGGCCTCCATGTTGAGCCACACCTTAACAGGGCTCCTTATGCCCGGTGACAGGTTGTCTTGGTCGCATAAACGGCCTCTGTTGGAGTCCAATCTGCCCAATGAGAACCATGTTTCAACAATCTCACTGAACCTTCGCGCCGGGTTTTGAGCCTCCTACTGGCCAGTGGTCCATTCCCTGCTCGTCTTCCTTCTCGACCGGGCGTATGGAATAATGGCAAACACCGGCTTGCGGGGTTCGAAGCTGGGGTAGACGTGGCCATGCACCCCGTATCTCGACGTCTTTACGCAGGACGATGCGTGATTGGCTGCTACATAATTGTTGCCTACAGGGACGGATACACCCGTGTTACAGGTGAGAGTCGGGGGTGAGATCGTGTGGTTCCCCGCGTTGCCCCAGTTCCGATGGTAATCTCAGAGCTGTTACGTCAATTGGCGTCTCCGATGTTGACGCCATGTTCATGCTTGTCAAAATACCCATGGAACTTGTGGGGTACTGCAGTGCCGACCGCTCAACGGCCTGAGCTAAACACCTTTTGGGCGTGTTTGAGCACAAGATAGGAAAGGCCAGAGAGGAGAATCCGGTTTTTGTTTCCCAGCTTAATCTTCTTACGGGGCAAAGCTTATGCATGAGCTTCGTTCAGGCACGGTATTACAGACCGTTTTAGCGCCTCTCTCGGACGTGACTTCCCATGAAGGAGCATAAGGAGTATTCCACCGCACGCTGTACCACCAACATGAGCTTCTGCAGACCCGATACTGACGAAACGACGACGATCTTTGCCTCGTTTTGTGAGGTTAAGGCCCAAGGATGCGTGCAAATCCCAATTTGTGGCTGAGGAGGGGTAAGCTCTCTCTCACCTCCGTCTGATGTCGAGTTCAGCTGGGCTTGCCACATGGCGCCCACATGGCCTCGCAATATCGAGTCCCGAAAGTGAAGATCATGGGATCAACCTAGTTTGAATGCCATCCTTGTTCCCGACTACGACGTCTTACCTAGCTCAAATGAGGGAGAGAGTGTTCAAAACTAACCGTTAGTACGCCGCCCATGGACTAGTCAGGGCACCTTTATTTGGACTCTCTATTTGGTTTCATGCTATACCTTGGCTTCCAAGCTAGGGCTCGATGTGGCTCAGCTTTTCCTGAAGATATTCTGTGGCCATGTTGGTTTCCAAGTCTTTACCACCCAATGTCCGCAGACAAAGAACAAAAACAGGTAAACATCTCGCAAGAAGCCAGACATCAGGTTCAAGAATCAGTAACTAACATGGTTACCAGGTTGTATCTCATGGTATGCTGCCGTTAACCTATCTGATTAAACCATGATCTAACCAATGTACAGCAGAGAAGCGCGAAAGAAATGTTGCGAGCGCAAGCCTGAGTGCACACGTTGCTCTCTCAGGGGTCTGAGTTGCACATATGAAGTCGTTGAGCCAAAGCGGTCGAAGACTACCAAGAGGGCGTCACCATCATCAAAGAAGGCTCGAAACATGTTTGCGGGGAGAACTCAAGCCAGAGGAGGGATTCATCCACACTTTCGCAGTCACAAAACCAACTCCCAGCCGTCCATCTGAAGAGACCATTGACCTCACGGTCTCTCCGCAGCTGGACGTAAACTTCTGCAACATGGACTTAGACGAGTCAATGGAGTTGTTCGACACTTTGGGAAACAGCAGCGAGTCAGAGGTTTGTTCAACCCTCACCAACAGCATCTTCGACGATTCAGTGTCAGCCCGATCCGGCTCCGTCAACCCCATGTCACTGTCTCTTGAGCTACCCTTCCCAGTATTCTCCGACCTGACAACAGACTCGCAAAGCCTGAAGCTCTTGCATCACTTTTTCAGCACCCTGTCACCGCTTATCGTCTTTGTTGAACAACCGCACAACTCTTTTCAGGACCTCATCCTACCCATTGCCTACGACAACTCACCTGTCTTCTATGCGATCTGTGCTTTTGCCTGTGGACACTTGGAGCATACTGGCGTCTATGAGTCTAGACACTCGTCCGAGTACAGAGCTTTGGCGGCCAAAGGTGCTTTCGAGTTGGTGCAGTGGAAGTGCCAGCATGAAGAGGTTCTCGCAACCGTTATGCTGTTGGCATATTATGAGGCAGTAAGTCCGGTACTTGAGCTGGAACTAAGGAGTATTATCGCTAATTTTCCAGCTCACGTCGTCTAATGCCCCTGACATGTTCGTCGGACACTTGAAAGCGGCATTTCTGGTCATCAGCTCTATCCCCGAATCCGAACGAAGTCCTGCAGTCTGCTTTCTGGAGAAGGTACGGAGACATGGCGTGACAGATCAGAGGTACCAAACTGACAACATACAAAGGCCTTTCACTACTTTGACGTGATCTCTTCCTTATCGCTTGGGATCAGCCCGGTTTCAGCGGTTTCCGTAGCAGACTACACCTACCCGCTGGCAGTCATGACATCCCCAAGGCCTAACGAGATCAACAATGCTGACCCGTTTATGGGGTTGGTGGGCGACCTGTGGCCAGTATTGTACCGTCTCAGCATCGCAATGTCGCTGAAGGAGGATCTTGAAGCAGCCATCGCAGCCAATCAAGGGACCAAAGCAGCCGTTCTCAGGGTCGAATACGAGTCAATAACAAAATCGACAGACAAGGCCCTTCAAAGCTGGCAACCATCCGTCGACCCGAGCAACATCTTGATGTCTCTGGAGGAAGATGGGAACGCTCAGCATCAGCATCTCGAGGCCATGGTTCATAACGCTCAAGCCTATCGCCATAGCGCACTGGTATATTTACATCGAACTGTGTACGGCTACCCTATCAGCCATCCCGAAGTTCAGAAGAACACTCATTTGTCTCTGGAGAGCTGCATGGCGGTCATCGCCTCTGGGGGACCCGCAAACGCGCTCTTGTGGCCTTTATACGTGGCTGCATGCGAGGCCGTGACGAATCATGACCAGGGACTAGCGAAATCAGTGTTTTTGGAGATTGGAAGAAGGCAAGGTATGGTCAACATTGAACGGGCGCAGGGGACTGTTCTTCAACGATGGGCCGGGGTAAGCGGAAACGGCTTAATAGGGCGTGAGATGGACACATGGGCCAGAACTACAGGAGGCATGGTGCATAGCATAATATTAGGCTAAAGAGATTACACTAAACACACCATCAAGTAATATGTAATGTTTGATTTCAAAGGGCTGCTCATTCACCGTGATATCGTGGCTTAGAGCACCGCAACGGCTGATTCCGTCGACTTCGTGACTGGGATGCCCATGGAGAGTCGCCTCATTGGCAGTCAAATGTTCAATCAGAGAAGGACACAACCGACTTGTGCGACGCACCCGGGCGAACCACTATGCCTCGCGGGCAGTGCATCTGCATGATGGCTACCCCGCCTACCTACATTGGCATAAGCTCTCATTCGCCAGCCTGATTTTGTGATAGGAATGGTGAGGCAAAATTTGCCGTTTTGCTCTTCTTTCCCATCTCCCATCTGTTTTTCTTTTTGACGCTTTCACTCAGATTCTCCAGGTTGTTCTCGAATTCGATCAAAGGGCGTGACCATCGCTGGGTTAGAACCCCGGTCACTTCAATTCCTCAGCAGCTCGCGCGACTCATTCCCATGTGCGATGGCCGAAGTATTAGGAACGGTCGTTGGCGTGGTGTCCTTGGGCCTTCAGGTCTGTTCGGGGATCACCAAATACCTCGACGGAATCCAAGGACACAAGGACGAAATTGCCTCCGCTTCTCGCCTGTGTCAGTCCTTGCAAGGAGCAGCAGATCAGATACAAGCGATGCGAAACAACATTGCAGCAGCTTCAAGGGGACATGCCACAGCCATCGAGAAAGCCATGATGTCTGCAAATGCAGAGCTCGCGGTCTTGCGTACGTTCGTCGATGACATAAGGGTGAACGAGGACCCTTCCAAGTCCATCTCAGAGTGGATCAAAGACCGCACAAATCGGGTGACATACCTGTTCCGACGAGGTCATCTCGATCGCCTGGAAAGTCAGCTGTCAGAAGCAAACAAAGCACTGCAGTCTGCTCTCCAGGTAACTCAGCTGTACGTCATATAAGAAATAGTTACGAGGAATGATGAACTAACAGCGTTCAGTGCGATATCCATCGAGACTGGCAACATAACTCGAAGCATTGGACCAGAGGTATCGACAACGAGGACCGAACTCAACACCAAGCTCGATAACCTACAGCAAGTTTCGAACGAAGACCACCACACGATGGGAAAACTGTCTGATGACTTGTCCCACGTGAGCCTATCTCTTGAGACATTCGTTCCGCAGGCGCAGCGGCACATGGAGGTGTCTTCTGTTCAGTTCACTCGTATGGAGAGCCGGATGGAAGAATTATTTTCTACGCTTGTCTCTACCGATCCTCAAGTCGTTCTGCGACGGGTATTGACGAAGCCAGACGCACTTCGTCTGGCATGTACGGAATTTGAAATCGGTCATCGGTACCCTCATTCAACGGTTGAACCGCAAAGTGACTGGCAATATGGCGCGGCTAAGAACAGCATGTTTAGCTGTCGATGTCATCCACGGCGAGTGAGAAGACAAATGATACGAGGCTTCCGTTCTGCATTCGTTACTGCGGAACGTCTCGAGGAGAGAACACATGCTCCTGATTGTCCGCTGGCGGGAATCAGTCCGTCGGGAAAAAGCTGGTCGCTTGGCGTATCAACGAGAGTCTTCCGAATGCTCCTTTCCATTGCAATTGCTGTGTCAACGTCGTCAACCTTTGGAGCGGGAGGGCTTAGTATATGTCCTTCGTTAAGGATTTATTTTGTCCGCGATCAATCACCGGCTGAGGCCATTATTCGAACGATTCAATTTTCCACCGAACTTGATGAAAATACCTTTCCTGTTTTTTAAAAAAAGGCATTCGAGCGCTACATTGGATCTTTAGAACCGGCAAAGCATCACCACTTGATGCGGATGCCTGGGACAATAATCTGCTCAACGTCGCCTGTGGTGAGATTCATGCAGCCGATGCATTCGACGTGTGGAAACTGAAACCTCTTTTCGAGTTTCTCGTCGCTCTCGGTGTGCCGAGAGACCATTGCGACATAGAAGAGGGGTAAGTAGATGACTTCCGCCGTATCCATGGATGTGTGTTTTCTAAGTGGTTTCGACAGACTTCCATTTCACAACTTATTCGGCTGGTTCGCGCTTTTTTTTAGAGGATGCGGAATTGAATGGTTCTGATACCAGCTCCATCAAGGACATAAACTTCACAGCAGTGGCACAAGACCATCAATTCCTCATGCCCGACGACATCTCTGCGATGTCCAAGTATGGGTTAAGAGACGATGATACTGCCACTCCTATGAAGATCAAGTTCTACCATCAGGTAGCTCGCGCACTTCCCGAAATGACAGAATGTAGACTCCCGCATACGTTGTCATTCATGAACAGCAACTAAATTATCTTCACAGGGTATGAAAATGCAATGCACACGGCAATCATACGGAAGGATGAAGTTGCGTTAGCCGAAATCCTGAAGAAAGGTACTGAGAAGGCCACACTCTGGGAAACAGACACTTTTGGCTACGCAGCCGTGGAGCTTCTTGCTTCCTGGACGAGGGGCTTAGAGCTTCTTTTATTTCACTGCGGGTCACAGGTTCTGCAATCGGATGACAACAGGGTGTCATCAGTGCTTTCTTTCGCCCTCAGCGGGAGTAAGGAGAGATGTTCAGTGTCTCCACCTGCAAGATGCCCTCATACCTGCTCTTGTGCTGACAACGTAGTCATACTTTTAGAAGCAGGCTGTTTGATTAAACTTGACGACGAACTACTTACCTTCGTGCTGCATGCGTCAACGCGGTGTCAAGAAGCAGTGGTTGGTCATTTGAAGAAACGACGTGAAGACCTGGCATATCTAGCATTAAACCGGCTCTCCCCAACAGAGATCAAAGATTTCAGAGTCTCAGAGGAGACTATACTCGACATACAAACTCAAGAAGTTGTAAGGGCATTGGAGAAAAGGGATGTTCAAGTGCCGCAGCGGCTTCAGACACAAGTTGTGCGTTATTTCGACAGCAAGAATCGGTGGTCACTGTACCACCTGATCAGCGCTTCACGAACCGATACGGATACAATACATCTCCTGAATATGGCTCGATCCCATGGTTTCGGAGAGGTAGATGAGCCAGATTCCACTGGGAGAACGCCATTAATGATCAGCACAAGACCACTGACGTTTATGAATCTCGTCAGGCTAGGTGCGGACCCAACTCGCAAGGTCCCAGACTCCGTGTCGGGTTTTACGACTACGCATCATTCATTTGGGATTCTCGGACGACCTGAGTACAGAAAAGAAGACTTTCGGATGATGATCAAAGTCAAAGAATACTTACAGTTGTCGTATGACTTCCCGTCTGAAGACGAATGTATATGCGAATGTGCGCCTTACGGTTGTCATCCGTATTCCAAGTTATGCAAAAGGATGGTCCGATATCGTTCGTCTCAGTGGAGACAAGGACTGGACTTGCTTTCGAACCGAATCGCCCAGGTCACAAAGGGACATGGGGATGTGCCTAACGATCTCCAGTTGGCGCTAGTGCGAATGGCAACGTTTAGATCCCTGTCAATTCATCACACTTGCTGTCTTTCCGAAGGCAAACCAAGACACATCGACGACGAAGATATCCAAGAGTTCTTGGAAGAAGACTCGCGGGCTATTGAGAAATTGCATGAACTGCTACCGGAGTTCGAAGCTAAACTTGTGGAAATGAGCTGCAGCTTTTCTGAATTCATGGGGACGTATTGGAAAGATAGAATGGTTCAAGTTTTAGAAGAGCTGAATGAACCGCAACCCCTGACGGAAGACAATTTGCGGGGGATTAGACGCCTGGGAATCGATCTCCAAGTTGGTGACGAGGATGGAGATGGAAATAAAGCTTATGACAAAGTCAAGCCGAAACGAGGGTCTTTGGAATACTATATGGCCCAGTTGGATGAAATAATGGAAGAAGCTGGCGTCTAGGTCGGCAAAAGAGGTGTTAAGGATCAACTGAGTGCATGCAGTTTACTTATTTGCAGCTCAGCCCTAGTACGACAAAGATTGTTTTCACTAGACATTGAAAAATGTGATCAACATGAAGGACTGGGTAGCGGATTGTTTGAAATATTAGATTTTCGCAGCGGAGTAGTGTGTAGTCAGGTGTAGTTATGCTGGTAGATGGAATTGAGAACTTCAGAGGCAAGGGGTCAAGTACGAGGGCTACCCAGAGCTGCTTTTCGTCGTTGCTCGTTGATGGAAGGTCAACGTCAGTGTGCAGCACGATGTTCGGCTTGTTTCTTCTGTCTTGTAGATTTGAACCTCAATACCTACAACATCGCTGTACGTTTCGCGGGGCAAATGCAGTTGAGGGTCTTCAGTCACTCTTGAATCTGATTGTCGAGCTGGGGTTCGAAATGCTCAATTCGAGTCGCTGGGGTGGGTTGCTTCTCCTGACATGCACACATCATCCAAGACTCACGACCATGGGAGCGTTGAAGTTGAACGTTGAAGGGGGACGCATGGCGTCCATATTTTGATTCGTGATATTTGGTCATTATCTCCCCCGATAAGGGTATTGTTGTAAAAAGAACATCGCCGGAAAGACGTCACCGCGCGAGTCTCATGACGTCCGATGGCGACGTTTCTCATCGGACAGGGCCTTTTGAAGTCATTACCATCAGTCATTGCAGTTCCCAAAAGAAGTAGTTTTAAGTTCGTTCCCGTTCCTGCCTACGCACCTCCTCCTGGAAAACATTCCGCCCGGGCGAGTGGGGCGGTGGACTCGTTGGTTCGAGTTGGATATTCGCGTCGTTCTTCAGTCCGCGGCTTTTTGGCGGACCGGCGACGGTTTCGTGGTATTTCGCTGCTGCTGCGGCAGCGGCGGCCGCGTGACGGCGGCGTCGGCGGAAGCATAGCCAGAGCATTACGCCAACGATGGCTAGAGTGATTAGGATGACGGGGAGTATGATGGCGACTAGGTTCGGACTTGAGCTGGAGCTGCCATCGATGTCGAGTGCTGGGCGGATGGTGAAGACAGGACCGGTGACGTTCTGCTGCTCGTCTGTGATGGGGTCGTTGTACATGAGGATGAGGGTCATGTTGTTCGAGTCTTTCTCTTCGAGAT